CTAAACAGAAAACAGCCGAAGACCACCAAACCCCCAGTTCTATAAGCCTGCTACGGAGGCTAATCAGAAAACAGCCGAAGACCACCAAACCCCCAGTTCTATAAGCCTGCTACGGAGGCTAATCAGAAAACAGCCGAAGACCACCAAACCCCCAGTTCTATAAGCCTGCTACAGAGGCTACGTGACAGTCCCTTAGACTATTAGTCGCAAACACGAGTACTGTAATACTAAAAGGATAGGCACACATGGCCAGAAATATAAATTGTACATAATCTCCAAGCAGATCCCTTTCGGTGGCAAAAAGACAGTATCAAACTGCCCAGGCAGTATCCATCCATTAGCCAGATAAGGTCGCCGGCCACCGATGGGTTGGTGAGGGTACCGACAAAAAAAACGGCCATATATATAAAGCTAACGATCATTCCCCCACCACCTTTGCTTGGAGAGTAAATTGTACAGGCTACAGAGAGAGCAGACAGCTCTGGGACTAGGGAACTAGGGGAGGCTCAGTGTCCTGGCTAAGTGAGTGAGTGACAGCCGTGACATGACTCTTTAGCTTACATGGTTCCCATCTTATCTCAAAGGTAATGTGACACAGTTTAGCTGCAGAGGATACACTGGGGCTTGTAGACATACATGTACCAGTTTGCAAGGTACAAGTATTTTTCATAACATTCGTGATGAGACAAAACTATAACACTAATTTGATGGCATCACTACAATAGACTTTTAGGATTCTTATTTCTTGTGTCAATGGGAAAAACTATCAAAGGTTCCAGCAATAAGTGACCACAATAGCCAGGTGGTCCTTATGTAGAGATGGTCACTACCGGGTATTACTAAGTAGTAGCCTCGTATTTTAGCTGCCAAATCTCTTTCGTCCTCTTTACAAATAAGAGAGAGGACGGCGGCTAAAATAGGTTTGTATACCAGGCCACGTCACTACCAGTAGTTCAGGTTTGACTTTTTAAGGATATAGAATTTAGAACTAAAAACCATAGAGGACCCTCAAAACATTTTGATCAAAGCACAAGCCCCTGTCTAAACAAGTACAGAAGAACAGAACAGTACACTACTGCAGCAGCCCTGAGAGCCAGAGTTGGAATGCAGCAGGTCAGGCTAGAAAACTGGGGTGCCAACAGCCTGGAGCAGGTCAGTTGTTCAACAGGATTTAAATGTCACATATCATACACGACCTCGTGTCACTTCCCTGTGGATGGCGGCTGCTTTGGACTTTAATAGAGGCACAGTAGTCTGATGTTTTTCTTCACTAGGGCCACAACAATTCAATCAATTGATTTGCAAAATTTCTGATTCTAATTTGCAGAGTTTCTGAATCTAAATCAATTCCAAAATGCTCATATCTTGTTTCTGAATCAACTCCAAAATACTCAAATTTAGTTTCTGAATCAAATGCAAAATGCTCATATTTATGCTCAACAGTTGAAGAAAGTCCCTGTCTTCCTTTCTTCATTTGAATTTGATGGAAATTCTTACTGCAGAAGTAAGACTTGTTTTTGATGTATTGTAGGCATTTTTAGTTATAGAATAGCCAGGATACCAAAAGGTAACAAAATAAAAAGCTTGACAAAATGCTTAAAAACACCTTTTTTTAAAAATGCCCAAAACAAGCCTAACCTATGCTTGTTGACTGCAAAAATTGAAAATTATACGTAAAGTCTTGCTGTACTGAATATTGAGGCTTTTGACAATCTACCCACAACTTGGCGATCAAATTTTAACTTCCACTCTTACGGAAACATCAAATTTGCAGCCATATTTGAAGCCGAGCTTGAAGTGAACGCGTTACTGCTTTTACGAGTTAGGTTTTTATTATATCTCTAACTTCAAGGACACAGCTATAATATGGCTCACAGTGATAATAGGCAATCTTGATTTTGCTGAGTTTATTACAGTACTACTAAATATTTCATTCACTCCATGAAACTTTATTATAAAGCAAACTGTACCAGTTAGGGCCATGATAGCAAAAACAATCGGTCTGCCCACAGAAAAACCTTTCAATCAGAAGTACAAGTTTCCAACTATTTTTGAAGTGTTTTTAGGCATTTTTATCAGGATTTCTTTTTTGTACTGGAAGCCTAACCCTCTGCCTGGAGAGTACATTACTAACAAAAGGGGGCTTGCATGGGGGGGTCCCAACAATGCTCTACGCTAAATTTTGAGAGCTCTCCATTACGCTTTACGATAAATTCAAAGTGGCTACAACGCATTACATAGATTTAAAATGGCGAATACGCTCTACGCAAAATATGCCAATTACACTCTACGTTGAATTAAATGGGTCCGTCTATGCTCTATGTAGAATTAAAACGGCCGATTATGCTCTACGGAAAAGGGCATGCGGGCCCCCACAAAATAGGGTACAAGCTGGTAATTTGAGAATGTCCTCATGTCTTTCTATTATGTAGAAAACAACACAGGTACATTTGTGCACAATAGGAATACAGGTCAAAAACTATAATGTTACCGTCATCCTACATTTTGTATGTTTTGGCTTTTGAAAGAGGGCCCAAAGTGCACCTAGTTGTGGTCCTGAGTTTGCGCTCAAGCCTATAATAAAGTCATTCCTTTGGTTCTTGGCATGTTTGAAGCAAAAAAAAAGCAAGGGGTCAAAATAAAAAAAGAGTGATGGAAGTAAAATTTTGATATGACAATATCTAATCCCTAAATTGTGTGAACCACACTCAATTATGCTTAGACCTAGACCCTGCTTTCTTGTTGACCTCTCAGTAAGGTGTTATAATTCTGAGAACCAACAAATAAAACTAGTCTGGCCTTACTACTTACAAAGCTATCAAAGCAATAAGTTAGAGGCCTGGACAGTGTAGAAGCTAGCATAAACCCTACCCTGACACACACTGTTTAAACTTTCAGTACACAATATAAGCTTCTGAGACTACCTAAAGTATGTGTAAGTTCCTGAGAAAGTTACAATCTTTTACGAGCCGCATAACTCCAGTGTCGTTTCCCCCTGTTGCCTACATGTGAAACTGGGTAGCATCAACTTGACCGTGACATTCAGGGCTCGGCCGTCATAAATCGTCGGGAGGCTGACAATAATTACTGTGGGGTCCTAGCCTGGTTACCCTTTGGTCTAATCTCCAAGCAGGTCCTACGGTGGCAAGGCAGCATCCAAGGAGTGAACAAGGACCATCAGTCCAAAATTGACCAAAAATAAGTTCATTGTACCATGGAGGTAATGATTGTACTGAAAACTATAAAAATATCAATTTCTACTAAAATATCTTTCTAGTAACCAAAGAAGATATAACTGTATTGCAGACTAAAGTGACACAAACCCCTGAACTGTTCCTAACATGCCTAATAACCACAGTAGCTAGCTAAGCTTGTGGCCCATTCTCTGATATTATTCATCTTTTGGGTTGCGGACCCCTTTCTTACTGTTCTTTGCATGATAGTTTTAGCTGGTCTCAATGATCAAAATATCAATTTCAATATCTTTCTAGTAACAAAATATAAAAATGTAAAGTAACACTAACCCCTGAACTGTTCTGAACCTGCCTAATATCGGCAGTGGGTTGTGGTCCATTCTCTGATATCATCTCATCTTAAATTTTCAGTTCCAACAATGAAAAAAAAAAACCTTTGTAGTAATCTAAGAAAATAAAACAGTAGTATTCCAGACTGAAACGACACTAAAACCCCAGAACTGTCCTGAACCTGCCTAATAGCGGCAGTGGGTCAGTGCAAAAGAAATGCAAACTACCTGGAAATTGGTGCTTCACACAGTCCGGCTGGTTATGCATGAGTTGGGGTGGGGTACATGTAGTAAATGGGAACCATTCCATCTATTCACAACTTTTCTTTCCTTTCCTTTCCTTCTATCCAATTTTCGGCCTCCTTTCAGGCCGCATTAAGAAGTGGATACTTCCGTATCTTGTTTTCTTAGCATCTTACGGCAGCTGTTTGGCGTTGACGGCTGTGTGTGTTTGTGTTGCACATGTGCGTAGCACCAGAAGCTACTAGTACTACGTTAGAAAGTGGGACAGTTGTACATGTACATAACCCCTGTATGTAGTGCGTATTGCGACAGGGGTAGTACTTTAAAGTAGCCTCCATAGCATGCCAAAAACTGGGGGTTTTGGGGTCTTCAGGGTCTTTGGGAGCTTTTATGTGCTATTTTCTGATTGCATATCACACACTTTGCCAGCCTGGTTGGATTACCCCCGAAAACAGCCGATCCACCAAACCCCCCATTTCTATAGTATAAGCCATCTACGGAGGCTAACTTTAAAGCATGTGCTTTTTTAGAAGTCCTTTTCTGGACGCCGCTGGAGGCAAGTGTTGGTGACAGCCGGGTGAGCTCAAACATCTCAGCTAGGCGCGAAGCCCGGCGGCACCACACACACACACCGTCATCTGCCCATCACAACACAACAACGCAGCGTGGAAATTTCCACCCGCCCGGCTTCTATAGTAGCCTCCGTAGCATGCTTGTAGAACTGGGGGTTTGGTGGTCTTCGGCTGTTTTCTGATTAGCCCAGTTCTCTAAAAACGGGGGTAATTCAACCAGGCGGGCTATGTTGTCTATATGCAATCAGAAAATAGCACATAAAAGCTCCCAAAGACCCTGAAGACCCCCTAAAACCCCCAGTTTTTGGCATGCTAGCGGTACGGGACATACGGACCCGCCGGTACCGTTATCTTTACCAACATCGCTTACAAACTCTGTTACCAAAGACGCGCCTACAAGAACCACACCTCATCAAACGTCTATCAACCCAGAGCTTGTGTCCTGGGTGTATTTGGTAAGACAATACCACAGGAATAGCGGAGAAACTACCAGTACAAACAACGGTCTACCACGAGGAGGCGTCGGGTCTTTAGTTAGGTTTGGTCCTGCTGCGCCTTTGCCTACACTCGGGCAAGCCTTCTCGATCGTTCGCGCTGTCTCTAAGACCCATCTATGGCTAAATCTAGCGTCTTTAAGATGGGAAACAAGGCGGTAAACTTACCGGGTCGAGCTGCTTGAGCTCCGTGGGTTGCTCGTTGCCTGCCATCGGTGTCTCTCCCGTCATGACGCCCGCTGGAGTCCTCGCGGTGCCGCTCTCTCCCTCAAAATCCCGCGTCTCGTCCCGAGCTGCCGGGGAGAGGAGCACGTGAGGTGAATAGGTAATGAGGCTACGGGATAATTGGGGGCGGGAGGACGGATCTGGGATAACCCGCCCGGCCCGATAGCGGACACACAGTCAGCTGAGGAGGCTAATTAGGACTCGGGAATACTGAAAACGGCGAACATTTCATTAGGAATATTGGGGAAATTTCTGAAAAAAATGTTGTGTTAATTTGCTCTTAGCTTAAAAAATATGCCTATCTTAATTGACAGTTAATTCAAGTCCTCAATTCAATTCATAATTTGTACGATGCATGCCTTATAAGCTACATCCGAATCTTAATCCGCAATTGAAAGAAGCAAATTATGATTCAGGAATACCAATCATTTCGACCGAGCACTTCATTGAGAGTATTAGGAACGCTTCTCGCGCTAAGCCTTGGCCTCACCTAGGATCATCAAGGAGGTTCGTAATTGAGATGATACACATCGTATAAGGTACAAGAAGCAAGTTATGACACCGGGATAGCATAGACGACCATGACTTTCATTGCAAACAACTTGGGAACGCTTCAGAATTTTCAAAAAAAAGATATATCACTCTTACGTTTTGGTCTTGAACTCTTGATAACTTTTTCCTAGTTCTTTCCGCACGTCGGTAATATACTGATGTACAGTTTCATCTGATTCAGACTTTCGTGGTTCATAATATTTACATGCGATGTTTCGCACCGAAAAACGCAAGTATGTCTTTACTTTATGCTAACATTAGAGCCCTGTCGGATAGCCCTAACCGGACATGTCCCCAGAGACTACTACATGATGTAGTTATCATATTAACCCACAGACTGCCGAGATAATAAGCAGTATCCACTTACTCTATCATTACTGCCGTATTCATTATCATCATATCAAGTTTACCAGCAGAAAATGACAAGAACAAACGTGTGAAAGAACACCCAAATTGTTAATTAATAAAAATAGAGTAAGCATACATTTCTGGTGGGATTGTGTAACAGTGTGTTGTTTGCAGTTTTTTCAAGACTCAAGAATTATTCATTGATAATTCGCAGTAAAAATCCCAAAGTTTATACTATAGCACGTAATGAAGTTAAAATGCAGAATTTAGGAAGAATACATTAGACATTCCTTATATGCTTTTAACTCCTAGCATTTAAATAAATGAATGGAATACCTTTATTGTATGTTTATGCTGTTGCAAGCTAAGTACAGGTCATGGTGTTAAATGCAGCACTAGCAAGGCACAAAATTACAGTGGTAATATAAGAGTCTGGTATCTACAATGTGGGTAATGTGTACTAGTATGTACAGGTTCAACTTTTCCTCGCTTCTGTATATCTGTAAATGTAAGAACAGATGGAGCGTATAATACAATTCAACAAACTCCCTGAACCAGAAACTAAACGCTTTTGTTTTCCCGGGAGATTATGTACTTGAAATCAGATGCATAAACGCTAACGTAGCTAGAATTCCTCTCCTTTGTCCATGGTCAACAAAAGAAGTTTATAGACAAAACCCTTCGCGATAGTACAAATATTTGTAGGAGTGACAAATAACGCCCTAAGCCTTGGTAAAGTAAACGAACAAACAGTTATTCGAGCGCCCTTGAGATAAAGAAACCAACACACAAATGCACCATTAGCATAATCTCCAAGCAGATCTTTTGATGGTTACAAAACAATATCGAATTGGTAAGACAGTTAATCTCCAAGTAGATCCCTTTCGGTGGCAAGACAGTATCCATTAGCCAGAGAAGTTTGTTTCCTTCGGTGACCGTACAAACTCCTCTGGCTAATGGACACTGTCTTGCCACCGAAATGATCTGCTTGGAGATTAAAGACAGTATCGAATTGGCAGGTCACTACCCTGTTCGCATTTGGCTGGCGAAGAAAAAATATACCAGTGCAAAAAGAAAAAAAAAGAAATCTCAATAAAAACACCAAAATGGCGTAAAAAATTAGCCTCTACCAGGCTTAAGGAGGCGGCTGGAAAGAGTAGAAATTGGTCAAATAGAGAGATAACATGCTGAGGGAGTTGGTCCGCTAGAAGAGTACAGTTTGCCTCACCGCTAGTTGAAAGTAAGCCTAAGCCCAAACCTCTGCTTGGAGAGTACTGCATAGAGCCAAGCACGTATAAAGGTGAATGAAGAAAATCCTGGAAAATTTCCAAACCACGCACCACGAATTTCCAAGAAATTGAATCCTTTTCTTGGAAACGTGCGTCAGTAACTTCCTCTCGGTTCAGAACATTCCAATTTGTGACAATCAAATTTTTCTGTAAAGTCACTTCTGCTTAGTGACTCCCAGTTCTGTGACTGTGTTTTTAATGGGCACAATACGTATGTATAAGGTACAATACTCTCCAAGCAGAGGATTGGATTTGGGCTTAATTTTGGCGTGTTTTTAGGCAGTACCTAGGAAAGCCGCCAGGGGGCCCAAAATCTAATCATTTCTAGGTCTCATAAAGACCTACCCACCTACCAAGTTTCATTCCAATCCACCCACCGCTTCTCGAGTTATCTTGCTAAACCACACACACACACACACACACACACACACACACACACACACACACACACACAAACACACACACACAAACGCTACTGAAAACATAACCTTCTTGGCGAAGGTAATAACCCAAAACCCAAACCTCTGCTTGGAGAGTAACTGCCAGTACTGTGACTGTGCGTTTGTAAATGAGCACAATACGTATGTATGAGGCTGGAATAAATGGATCACTTGACCTAGAATGACACAGTGTCTAACACAAATAAGGGCAGGGGCACACATGCGGAACTACTTTGTTTTACATACTAGCGACTGACTGCATTGCTACTAGGAAAACTAGTGTCCGATGACACGTAGGGTTGCACGTTCACAATCGTCGTGCGATCATTATACGATCGCAAACTAATTCTTGGGATAATTATGTTTATGTCGTACAAAAATCAAGCTACTAGTATCTTATTACGAAAAAGGCACTGCCTTAGATCCTTGTCGGTGGCTGGTTCTGGCTCTGTCGCAGCCTGCTTAAAATTTCAGCGACATCAAAATCGTACGAAGATCTTACGACAATCTACGACTAATATGAGCACGTCTTATGCAGGTATGTACAGTAAATACATCTTAAGAACTATATATTTCAAAAACTACCATGCACGCGAAGGACATGAGTAAGTAATACGATACCAACATTTCCAAGAAAATGAGCGCAAAACGTCGGGAACTGACCTGAACCCGCGGCCACCGCAGTCGGAATGGAAATTTTCCTGGAAATTTCGCACAAATTTTCCAGTAACTTTCCACTGATGGAATTTTCCTCCAGCGGTTTATGACGTCATAACCGAACGTCTGACGTCACGAATCGTAACAATCGAAATCCGGGGAATTATGACATAATCGCCGGATTAGCCCTAAACGGGGATTTGCATCGAACGTTTGATCTGAATGCGAGTTTAATTATACCATTTATGGTTCTACGTTGTAAGGCAAGGGCCATAAAAGTCTATCTAAAAATATCTATGACATATCTATTTCTGATTCAGTCATTCACCTAGGTTTGGAACAAAACTTCCATAAACGAGAAGATGACAGTGCAACCCGGAAGCGCGTATAATGTATGTATCGTTCATGGGCGTAAATGACTATGAAAGTATGAATAGTCTTAGGAATAAGTAAACTATATTTGCAAACTCATGCCTGAAGGCTAATTACAAGGGAACACAAAGATACGATGTCTACATGTAGATCTTGTCTGTAGATCTATGTGACGTTTCTGCGTACATTACTAGTACTACGTCTATCTAGCATCATGTAGCCCTCAAAATCCCGCGGATATGGTATTAAACGTTATCAAAGTTCATATGGAAAATCCATGTTGTATCCAGATAGTTGCTGTATCGAAAACCGTGGCTGAGGCAAACCTACGTTCTTCGTGGATTATACGCGGAGACTATCCAGAACCCTGCCTGATCCTAACCCTAAGCCATATACAGGCATAGAGAGAACTAGATAGGCACGGTTCTGGATAAGGCAGTCCACTTGTTCACTTGCAAATGAGGTCAATGACCTGAGCGTCCCCGGGACCCTGAGGTGGAAGGGGTAAGGTGACACCACTTTCCTCTAGTGGTAATTTCCCGCCATGTGTTTCTTGAAGAAACTCCTTAAGACTCCGTGACCTTGCTGATCTCCCCAAGGGTATCTGCAGTAGCTGGCCGCGCGCCCGAGTTTATGGAGTCTGGCTTCCATAGCTGAGTAGCTAAGCAGATGTAGGGTTGGAAGATCATAACGCTTTCTGACTGCCGAGAACAGAAAACTGCCCTTAACTATGTTGAAAATATTTTAACGCGATGTTTTTAAAAACATGCAACCGTTCCGTTTTTGGTAATTCATCGCCCTTTTTTGGTTGTTTGTTGAGCTTTTTGTGTTAGAACAGTCAGCGAATAATTCTTAATCAGCAAAATAAAGCATCAAAGCTAACATGCTAACCAGAGCTAGAGAAGCAAGTCTCCACCAGACACCTTTGAGTTTGAGCGCTGAAGACCAACTCAAGAACTCAAGAATTATTTATTGATCAATGTCAGTAAACTTAATACAAGTTACTGAATTGCGAATCAATGTACATTTCATTATTTTAAAATCAAGAGTTTATAGTATTGCATATAATTAAGTTAAAATTCAGAGTCATTAGGAGGTTAAAATACAAAGTCATTAGGAAGTTAAAATACAGTATCATTAGAAAGACTACATAGACCACATATTACAACCACACCACAACAGTTAAAAATTACGAGTAGAAGAACGATTAAAAGGTAGGCCCACGTGATACAAATACCAAAAGATACCATAGCAAGTGACCAAATAGGGTGAATTATTTGCCAAGGCGGTAAGCCGTACTCCCCACTTGACTTTCTTGCCAAACAATCACCATATTTGGTATAAATTTCTACTATTTTCCAGCTCCAACGCCAAGAGAGAGGCATGCTACCAGCACCAATCACCATATTT